AATCTTTTCAATAACTGCAAAATATTGATTCATTTGACTTTTATTAGACAAATAAGCCTTTATAACATATTCAGTTCCACTTGCAGATAGTCACACCTATGGCCCAGAACCATTTAAAATTGCAGATGATGGGAACAGATGGCAATTATGCCTTAAATCACAAGGTAAAAATATGAAATTGTTTTGATAAGTTTTACTGAGATTATTATTTCTTTGTTGATAAAAAAGTACTCATTTTTTGAAAAGCAATCTACTATAATAACATTATAAAAAGATTTACTGACTTTGCCTTCAGAAGTCATGTAATATAATCTTATATTATCACCCTATTCTAGAATAATATTTCTAATGTACAAAAAGACAATACTGAAAAGTGGGGAAGAATCTTACAGACTAATCATTGTTTACAGGTGCAATAGATTTATGTCTCTTAGTTTACAATTTTTATTAAAATAAGGAAGAATTCCAATGACTTCTTTATCTTGTGAAACATAAGAAAGTAATAGAAGAACTACTGCAAGTGGTTATTATATTCATTTTTTAGTTTAAAATCTAGTGGATATGCTAATATAGTAACAAACATTCTGAACCTGACTGTGAAAAGTCTAAGGAAGGATAGATGCTGGACTTTTTCTGAAAATATTTTAAAGAGTTTTTGATTCAGGAAAAAAAGAGCTAGAGGGGATTTAAAAATCACTACAATGTCTTAGTTTATCAATAAGGAACTCATCCCGAGACAGCTCAACTAAGGTAATATGTAATACTATACATTAACAACAAATAGAGAGTTATGAGTATGAGTAAAAGCTAAGCTCATAAGTCTGTAGCTTTTTAACTGTAGGCAAAGTCAAGTGATGTTATTTAACCTTGGGGAGTTATTCATTTTTTGCAGTCTCTGTGCACCTATAAAATAGGATGATAATATCAAATTCACTCTGCACCAATAAGTTATAAATAGTAATACCTGGGATAAAAATCATTGTCGATCAGGAAAAGATATCTGTGAACTTGTCTTCCATAATTTTATCTTTCTTCAACAAAAATATAATCAATTATATAATTCAATATCAAATCAGTACTTTTAAAATTATTTTATTAAATGAGCTGAAGAATAAAAATACATTCAATTAATTCTGGGTTTGTAATCTCAGCAACTCAAGGAGCTAGGGAAGAGGATCATAACTTCAAGTCTGGGAAAGTTAGTTGACCCTATCTCAGGAATAAAAGAAAAAAAATTATACATACACACACACACACGTATATATAATACATATATATAATAGTATATAATATATAGTACCAGGGATTAAACCCAGAGGTGCTCAACTACTGTAAATTCATATTTGCTACAAATTCTACTCTTGGATTTTAAATGTGCAGTGAACATAGGAAAGTATCTGATCATTTTATTTGGAAAAATGGTTGATTGACTAATGATGCCCTCATTTTGTGATTACCTGTAACTTTTGTTGAAAGAGGAACTTGAGAGAGAATAAGAATGTAAGAACATTTAATGATACAACTGAAATCCTTCTGGTCATAGCCTGGAGATGAAACTATAGCCCTGAGCAAATATTATCCATTCTCATCATCAACTGGAGAGTCCTTTATCTATGGTTGCTAAGATCATCTGTTATGAGAGGCAAAGCAATTGAAAAAAGTTCACTTGAACTCAAATACATGGAGTAGAACCCTTTGGAAAGGAATCAGTGCCAAAGAAATGTTCCCCGAAGGCATTGAAAATGTTTAGCTCACGTAAAAATTTCCATTCATATGTGTTTAATTCCCATAAGGAAATTAACTGTTATACTTGATATTATCCTTGGGAATTGTTTGGGTGCTTTTCAAACTTGTTTTATTTCTCTAAAATGCATTTATTATAAACATAATTATTTTAAGTATTTTGGTAGCTCATTACAAAAGGTGTGTTTTGAGTAGAACCATATATTTGTGTCTATATTCTTTGCTTTCAGCATTGTAGTGATTATCTTCATAGAGGTGGGAAAACCTTCACATTTTCTTTTCAGGGTTCATTGTTCAGAATTACTTTTATAATTAAATATCAAATCAGTACTTAAAAACTATCATATGAAATGAGCTGAAGAACAAAAATATACTCAGTTATGTTGAATATATATTGAGCACACTACCACACTTTTTTTATGGCACAAATACAATAAACTATTTAAAAAGAATAAAACTGGAAGCATTTTATAACATCTATAAATGGTAACTTGATTTGTGCTTTCAGAGGTGGGGAAAAATAATTTAATTGATAGAGATAGAGGAGGATGCAATCTGTATATCAATTTCAGGTTACCTAAATGTGATTATTGAAGGGTACTTAAATATGTTCTTGGGCTTCCTTCACATACAGGTATTATTCGGTCAGGTAAAAAAAAAAATAGTAACCAATTATGGTTAAAAGTGTGATTGTAGATGATCACCAAAAATATATATATATATTTTTTTCTTTTTAAGCATCCAGCATTCTTTCTCTCTCCTCTTCAGAGCCATGCCTATTTCTATCCTTCACTGACACTGCACTAGGCTGCTTTCCCTTCTCAGGGTAGAGTCTAGGGCCAATATGTTTCATAACTAAGTCCTACTATTCACAAAGTAACCCAAGTATCTTTTCCTTCAATTTAACTCTACTACTCTGCAGTTTTCAAATGCATAGAATTTGTTTTCAGAAGTGGTTTCAAATTGATTAAGCTATTTTCTTTCTCTCTTTATGTGGTAACGGTATTAGGTAAAAACAGGATTGTTTCAGTAGTATAATGGTGTGTCTGTAGAAAGCTCTCCACCCACTCCCTCATCCATATACTAAATTGAGAGTTAATCCCACCCCTCCTCCAACTGAATTTTACCAGAAAAGGATTGCAACATATTTGATTTGATGAAAGCATATGTATAAACTTTTTCCTTTTAAGAATTAGTTTCCATGGCTGGGGCTTTAGCTCAATGGTAGAGTACCTCACATGTGTGAGGCAACTGGGTTCCAACTTCAGCACCACATAAAAATAAATAAATAAATAAATTTATATAGAGAAGGAGGAGGAGGAAGAGGAGGATAAGAAGGAGGAGGACAAGGAGGAGGAAAAGGAGGAGGAGGAAGAGGAGGAGAAGAAGGAGAGGAGGAGGAAGAAGAGGAGGAGGAGAAAATTAGTTTCCAGGCAGGGCATGGTGATGCATGCCTGTAATCCCAGGGACTCAGGAGGATTCTGAGTTCAAAGCCAGCCTCAGTAATTTAGCAAGGCCCTAAGTAACTCAACAAAACCCTTCTCTATATAAAATATTTTAAAGAAATGACTGGGGATGTGGTTCAGTGGTTAAGCACCTCTGGGTTCAATCCCCCAGGTACCACACACACACACTCACACACACACACACACACACACACACACACACACACACACACAAGCACTTTCTAAATTTAGAAAAGAAAAATCACTTTAACACATGTAACACTCTTCTTAACCTTGGGAATTTCCCCCAATTTACGTTCTTTCTCCAAAGTTTCACTCTTTAGCCTTCTCAAAATGCACACACCCTCAAATATTTGGTTTTTAATACAAAATTTTTGCCATCTTGTAACAACTTTCCAACTTGCCAATACATAATTAAAAGGAAAAATGGTGTAAACTTACATCTCTGCTTTCACTGAAGAAAGCACCAAGCAATATTTTTTTTAATCATATAAATTCCAAATGCTCAAATGATACATAAAATTTTTGGATATTGATGGAAAAGGTGTCCACTTCAAGAAAAGATAGATAGAGAAGCAGTATTATCTCACTTTTGCCCCTCTGGAAAGCATGTGAAACTTGGTATATTATTAATAAGCTTCAAGTTTGAGGAACTTGGTGATTCTCTTGCTGGGAAAAAAAAAAAAAAACAGAGCATTCTGTTCCCCAGCACCAATGACCCAGCAAGCATCTGTGAGGAGAGGTGCTGCAGGCTACCAGCAGATAATCTTTCCAGAGAGCTCAAGAGACCCCGGATTTCTATTCCTTCCTCTCAAAGCAACTGGTTATTTACTTGTATGCATTTTAAATTCATTCAGATCTGAAGTGCAAACTTTGTAAGTGGTGTGTGTGTGTGTGTGTGTGTGTGTGTGTGT